TTAAATTTTAATTAAATAAAATTAAAATTTAATTAAACTCTAAGTCAATAATTACAATTTTATTAATTTGTCAATTAAAAAAAAATTTCAATTACAAATTTTTAGCCCATCCCTATCCCACGTATCAATTTTTTATGGCGTCAATGGATGTGAATGTAATACCTTTGATGCCTAGAGATTTCAAGGACACGATTGCCGAGCTCTAGGCCTTCACCGGCGTACGGAATCAGACGCTAATAATAATTGTACATTTTCAATCGCTCAAATTTTATATCTCTCTTCACATTGTCACACTAACCTTTCCTGTTTTTTATGGGCCAATAATTTATTTTTTGAATTATTTGTCCTGCTTTTGCAGAAAGTTGATCCTTTTTTTTTTTTTATAAAAATAATAATTAAAAAATTAATATGAGTTAGTGATTAATAATTAATTTTTAAGTTGAGTAAATATTTCACTCCTTCAAATAAGACGCGTAACTATCAAATCATTTTTTAATAAAATTCATAATAATAATAAAATTCAAAACTCCAACAACCTCATCAAACATTTAAAGTTTAAGATCGAACCATTAAACTTAGAAGTAAAGTTCGATCCCTCTCAGCTTTGCCTGCGTAAGGTTGAATGGAAGGCAATTCCGTTTAATATCTTGAAAACGGGGCCAAGATATTGACAACAGAGAAAGAACTCCGAGGCAGAGAAAAATATTTGCGAAAAAGAAAGACGTACATCAACAAGGGTTGGATTAAGTAGTAAGTAACTTATTTCAACTTAAGTAATATCTTGAATTTGAGCCATTGTGTATATAGTAGCTCTCGTTAGAAGATTCATCCACTATTTTCAAGTGCGCAACGCAGGTCAAATCCAAATTAGTGGAGGCAAAGCTTTGAATACCGGACAAAAAACCCAAAAAAAAAAAAAATAACGTACAACTGTGAATTCTTTTCGTTTTCGAGTGCAATTTTTTTAATAAAAAACAAAAGTAATTTTGTACAAATATTTTTACCATACCGTAGAGAGTAGGGGAATGTGACCGGGGGTGTTGAATATCAAATCAGAGACGATGGAGCGGATGTGGTTGGATTTTGATTATAATTATAATTAAAATATTAATTAATTAAATTTTAAATTTTAATAATTATTAATTACACAAAAATAAAAAATTTTTTATTAGTTTTAATTATATTTTAAAGATTAATATTGATTTGTGGGCATATGATATCACCTCTCCTCATCATAATTTTCTCTTATAGAAAAAAGGGGATCCATGTTAAGGTGGTTGCTATTTGGTTTTGGTTATCATTAAAATTAACTATTGGTTGTTTAAATTTTAAATTTTAATAATTATTAATTAAATTTAAAAAATATAAATTTTATT